GGGGGGGGGGGGGGGGCAGCGGCACCGGGAGGGGTCCGGGGAGAGTCCGAGGACGTGACACGGGGGTCACAGGGCCGGGAAATAGCTCCATTCCGAACATCTGAGCCCCTCGGCGGGGATACGTGGGATTTATGTTCCCCTCGGGGTGGATAGATGGGGTTTACGTCCCCTGATGTGGATAGATGGGATGTATATCCTCCTGGGTGGATATATATGATTTAGGTCCCCCTCGGGGCTGATATGTAGGATTTAGATCCCCCTCGGGGTGGATATATGGAATTTAGATTCCCCTGGGTAGGTATATAGGATTTAGTTCCCCCTGTGGGTAGATATATGGGATTTAGATCCCCCTGGGCGGGTATATGGGATTTAGATTCCCCCCCCCGGGTGGATATATGGGATTTAGATCCCCCTGGGTAGGTACATGGGATTTAGATTCCCCTCTGGGTGGATATATCGGGTTTATATTCCCCTCTGGGGGCATAGATGGGATTTAGATCCCCCTCTGGATAGCTAGATGGGATCTATATCCCCCTGGGATGATAGGTGAGATTCATATCCCCCTCGGGTTGGGATTTAGATCCCTCTGGAAGCACAGGAAGCTTTTTTCCTATTTAAAACGAATTTTTCTCTCTGTGAGCTTTTGTCCCGGAAGATGATCCCACTCCAAGCCTGTGAGCCACCAACGTCCCTCGTGCCCAGGCGGAACAATTCCGAGACAAGCAATTCCAAATATTTACATATTAATTCTTTTAACTTTCAAGACATAAATAAACGGAGACATTTTGGCAACTTGGTGACAGAATAAAAAAAACCCAAACAAAAACCAACAACCCAACATGGGAATCTCGGGTTTGTTCCAGCTTTGTTTAAATTCTACAGAGAAAATATTTCCTGTTTCAGGATCAAATGGAGGAGAAGGCAGCCAAGGAGCTCAGCTGGTGTTTTGGGAAAGGGTTAAAAATAGGGAGCTGGGGGGAAAAAGGGAGTTGGAGGAGAAAAACAGAGTTTGTGGGGAGAAAACCAGGAGTTCAAGGGAAAAAAAAGGGCTTTGATGGGGGGAAGAAAGGGTTATTGGGGGAAAAACAGGCATTTAGGGGAAAAAATGGGCATTTGGAAATCAAAGTTTGTTGGGGGATCGGAGCATTATGGGATTCAAAAACTGAGTGTGGAACCCTCCATGTGGGCGTTACCCACCTCAGGACCCATTTACTTTGGAATTGGGTGTTGGATTTTGAGCAGCAGCAGGAAAAAGGGATGGGAACAGCTCATGTTCTCCACTTTGGGGCTTTAAGGATTGGTGTTGATGGACAATGGTCCATCCATGGGGAGGACGAGAAGTTGGGAATTCACTGAGGAACTTGGGGATATTAAAGGCAGGAGAGCAGCCCCAGCCCCTATAATTGCCTAAATCTGCACAAATTCACCTTCACAGGGCACTAAAAAGGGGGTTTTCAACCCCGGAGCCAGCTCTGAGTGGCTCTTCCTGGGTCGTTTTTGTGTCCTTCCCTGGTGGGTTTGGGGCTGAAACCCAAAAATAACCCCTTGGGCTGTGGATCCCCCAGGACACCGTGCCCGGATCATGGGAGTCGTGCTGGGAGCAGGATTTGGCTCTTGGAGGGTTTGACAAGGAGCTGCCCAAAAACACCGGAGACCTTGAGAGCCTTCTGCTCACTTCCTGCTGGGAGATAACTGGGAAAGGTTCTCACAAGTGCAGGGAAAATCCTCTTTGTGTTAAAGCTGCTTATCCCGGGGGTTTGCCGGGAGAGCCGGGCGGCCACTCACGGAACCCCCAGCTGGGGAGCCACCAGCACCCTCCGAGCAGGAGGAGAGGGGTAAATCTGGGAAAGGAGCTTGGGAGAGAGCTGGGAGGATGGCGGGGGGAGGAAAAACCCCTGGCTGCACCACTGGGGAGGACACCCATGAGAACCTGGGGTTCCAATGGGAAAGAGTTAAAATAACACCTTAAACTCACCGTATTTTCCCCGATCCCAGGGGTTTGCTCACTCCTGGGGTGTGCAAGTCTGCAGGTCCCATAATGGAAAATCTGGGATTTTCTGCCAGCTGGAGCCCCAGGATGGACCCAGAGCATTGGGGGTGGTCGAGGATGATCCTGCAGCAGGGACTGACCGACACTGTTCCTGGGAGGAAAGTGCCTTTGATGTGGCAGGAAAAAAAGAGCATTTTTGGACTAAAGAGGTTTGGGTGAATATTTGCAGCTTTGGGAGCGGGGAGGGCATGTCCAGCCATCCCTCTGTGATGTGATTGGGTCGGGACACCCCTGTCTCAAAACAATGCTGGAAGGTGAGGATTTGGTCAGGAAGGTTTGGAACTGGAGGGTTTCCTTGGGAAGGGAGCAATACAATTTATGGTTAAGCCAGGTTACAACAAACTGGTTTGTTCTCCATGCGTGTGCATTAGAGGGATGGTTTGTAGGAATAAACCCATAAACTTCATGCACATGCTTTATTTTCCTTTCATTTTGTTTGCTCCACTCCAGGGTTGGAAATCTCACCACCACATGTTCCTAAATCATTTCCCAAGGGAGCTCTTGGCTTTTTTTTGGTGACAGCACAGAACCAGGAGGTGGCACTGGCCAGCAGTGCATCCTCCAGCTGCTCCCGAGCCTGTTCCAGGCCTTTTGGCTTCCCTAGGAAACAAAACTCTTCTGCTTTCCAAGCCTGGGAGCCTGGATAACCTGGGTGTGCAATGGTGGGGTTGTCTGGAGGGAGTTGGGGGCTCTGGGGACAATGTGGCCCTGACCACCATGACCTCCCCTGTTGGCTTGATTCCACCTCCATTGGCTTGACCTTGGCTCATCCTCTGCTGACTGGTAGGAGCTCCAAGACCAGCTGGGTACACCTGGATCACTTTTCTATCCCTCCCTCCAATTAATTCTTCCAAGGAAAAGCAACAAGTGTGGGATTGCATTTTTTTCCCCACCCAAGAGGAATTTAACTCCAATTTCTTGACCAAATCCCCCCATTTCTGAAACAGTTTGCTCTCCATGGGCAGCTGGGGGGGGCTGGGTTGGTTGGAGGTTTCCTGGTCCAGCTTCTCATTGCACCTGGATATCACAGATATTTCTGGAAAATAAACAGTGTGAAGAGCAACTCTGGAAGAAACTAAGTGAGAAGCTCCTGGCTGGGTGTGGAGACTCAAGAAGATCCTTCTGATGGGACAAACCTCACAAGCTGTTGGTGTTTGATGTTCCTGTTTTGGTGGTGTTTACAGATTTATTTACCACGACAGACCGTGCGCCGGTTGTTGGGGATTTTATTGGCAGGGGCTCCTATTTACAAGAGAATCAGAGGAAATAGGAAAGGACTGAGGCATTACAAAGCTCTCCGAGTTTGCACCGTGGTCACAGTCCCCCCGTTGGAACCTTTGGGAGAGTCACGGCGGTTCCGGAGCGGAGGCGGCGCCTCGTGGGGAGGATGTTGTTCGTCGTTGCCAACACCTGATGAAGTTCTGATCTCCATCCCAGCTGCTGTGTCTGGAACAAGGGGAGAAGGTGAGGAAGTTCACGGCCTTGCGTGTGGCGGGATGGGGTCGGGGTGTTCCTGGAACACTGGAGAGCTCCAGCCACAGGAAAAGGTTGGCCAGGTGGGACGGGGCTTGGAGCAACAGGGGTTGGTGGGAGGTGTCCCTGCTCGTGGAAGGGGATGGTCTTCAAGGTTCATCCCAACCCAAACCATTCCAGGATTTTATGGAACAAAAGTTTGGGTGGATGAGCAGCAGGAGGTACCTGGGGCTGAGACCAAACGGGTGCTCGCCCCATGGAAGCTCCCACTGAAAGCCAGGAATTCATTGGGAAAACGCCCTGAAAAGCCTCTCCAGGCCATCAGTGGCCATTAGAGCTGCCAGGGGGTCCCCTGGTATCGCAGCCGGATGCCTGGGAGGGTTTGTTATCTTTCCATTGTCTTGGAAAGTTGCTGCTTCAGAAAGAATTGGATTTGCCAGGGTTGAAGGACACGCTTTGAGCAAGTGTTGAAATCCTGGAATACCTTTGGAGGAGGAGCATGGGAGGGTCATAGCAGGAGACCCCGGAGACTGAGGAGGGTGACGAGGGGGACGTGGCACTGGAGGGGTGATCCTGCTGACTCCCAGATATCCTGTGAAGCCAAGGAAAATAAATCAGTCAAAAAGTCCCATGTTTTAATGTCCTAAAAGCCAGTGGCAGAACTCATGTCCTGTCAAGTACCTGACTGTCCTTGGCATTCCTGGAATCCTCTGGAGCATCTGTGTCTGGTATCCCTGAAATCTTGATGGTGGCATCCTCTTGTGGAAACCACTGCCCGTAATCCCCGATGGTGTTTGTCTGGGTGTGGAGGAAAAGAAATAACCTGGGATGTCACAGCACAGGATTAACTCCTGAGGGATCCCTCTTTGGGACAGGTTTGGGAGCATTTAATTAAGAAAACAAGGGATTTCCCAGTTTCTGTGCAAACTGTCACAATAAATCCCAACTCAAAGCATTCCATGACTGTACTTCACGCACGTTCTGCTCAAACTCATTTCAGTTGTTCTGTGATCTAAAAACCAGCAGTTTTAACCCATTTCTTTCTCCTTGTGGCAGCAGTTTGGGCGAGGAAGCCCCTGGGGTTTTTTTTGGGGGGGAATACCAAGAGAAACCCAACTCACCTCGTAGGAATCCATCTCGAAGGTGTAGGGGGTGGGCATTCCCGTGGTGTTGTCGTAGTAATAGTCTCCCGTGGAATAGAGGTAATCACCTGGAATGGGAACAGCTCCGGGTGAGGAGGGGGTTGGGGACACTGTACCCTGTCCTGTGTGGGGTGACACGAGTCCCACCCCCACATCAGGGGTTGTTATTGCATGGCTTTCCCCCTCTGAACACCAGTGTAACTCAGATTAATCTGGACAGCTGGGATAAATCCCTGGCAGTGCTCAAGGCCGGGTTGGACGGGGCTTGGAGCAACCTGGGCTAGTGGAAGGTGTCCCTGCCTGTGGCCAGGGCTTTAAGGGTGGATCTTTAAGGACCCCTCCCACCCAAACCATTCCATGATTCCATGAAATAACTGAGTAGCTGTCATTGTAGAGGACTCCATTCAGTGGTGCCTTTCCATGGGCAAAGCCTCATCTCCCTGCCTGGAGGAGGCTGGATGGAGGCTCCCTCAGCCCTCCCAGCCCCGCTTATCCCAGCTCGCTCCTGCAGCTCCCAGGAAGTGGTGAAAATGCTTTAAAAACTGCTTTTCTCACTGTAACGAGCTGCGTAGTCGAATAAAAACTGTGTGATCTCCTCCTCGTCGTCTTCTACCTCTGCATTCCCTAAAAACAAACAAACAACACACGGATCATCACCCGGCACCGCGAGCAGAACCTCGGGTCGAGCCAGAGCTTTGGGCAAAACCCCTTCCCTGCGGGAGTGATGGATTCACCATCTGACCCGTAGCTGGGTCCAAGGCTTCCCAACAAAAGGTGTGGGAGATGGGAGCAGAGCCGGGGTTTTCCTTCATTTTTTGGGTGTGGATGTGCCGGAAGCAGGAGATGCAGCGGTGGGGATGGAGCCGGAGCCAGAGCCAGAGTTATGTTGGGATGGATCTGCCTTTGGGATGAGCTGCTCATCCAGCATCCCGGCTGCTCCAGTGCCCTCGTGCCTTTGGCTGTGGAGCTGCCGAGGGCTTGGAATGGAGCCTCCTGTTCCCTTAGGGCTGAGCCACCAGAAATAGACTCTGACCCGTGTGACAATGTCACAGCTGGAGCAAGAGGCTCATTCCCTTTTCCAAACACAGGGTTTGGTATGTTTTCATAGAATCATAGGATCAACCGGGCTGGAAAAGACTTCCAAGATCATCAAGTCCAACCTTTTTTTTGTTCTGTCAGGATCTTATAAAGCAAATTAATTGGGAATACTAATATTTTCATTCTCACAGACTCTGGCACTAAGATAAAATACTCATGAGCATAGAAGATACTCACGGAATAATATGATATTTTTATAGTTTGGTACTGATTATAGTTATAAGTAAGATAGTTAGAGTATTGTTACTGTGAGTTACACCATTAGCAGCTGGAATGATGCCCTCAGTCGTGCCCAGGGCCGGCTGGAGCTCCAGGTCCCTCTCCAAACCTTCCCACTGCTTCCCATCATATCCCTGACTTTCTCAGTGCCAGCAGTGGCTGAGCAAGAAGCCCAGATCCCGAAATTCTCATTAGGGAATTCTCTGAAAACACTGACTCAGCCTGGAAGTTCTGAGGTGGGACTGGGGGACACGACGCAGCCTCGCCCGTTGCTGTGTCAGCACCTCGGCCCGTCCCACCCCCATCCCGAGCTTTTGGGGAAATTTGAACTGAAATGGGGACCTGCCCTCCCACCCCCGCTCCTTCCCACGCTCATCCTTTGAAAATGCTCCAGTGGCACGAACTCCAGCTCTGGGGCACATTATCCCATGCTTTCCCAGAGAGTTATTTCCAGTCAGCTGTTGTGTTTGCACTGGAGCCACGCTAAGAATAATATCCCATAAAAAAAAGCAAAAAAAAGCTCCCAGCTGGGAATCCTCCCACTTTTAACACCTCACCTTCAGTGAGGAGGAGGAAGAGGAGGCTGAAGGCTCTTGGCGTGGCAGAGCCGCAGTTTCCAGCTCCTCAGCTGGTGCTGCTCCGTATCCCACCTTCCCAGAGAGGTGGGAATATTGTGCTCATCCCTAAGCAGCTCCAAGTGGGGGTTTCCTCCCTCAACACCCCCATCCGCTCTCCCCCATCTCCGCACTGCCCACCTAATTCTCCAGGAAATCCTGTTGGATTTTTTTCCTCCGTATCTGTGTCTCTAATAGCTCCCAGATGGAATTTACAAATGATTTGAACTCAATGTGGGAAACATTCGTTATCCCGCTGTTCTCCAAGCACGGACTTCATGGAACTTCCAGTAATTACAGAGTGCTTTCCCCTTGTTTTCTTTGCCCCGCAGCTCCCCTTCTCCAAGCCAACACCCCTCAGCCTCCCAGATCTCTCTCCCCAGGTGCCTCGCAGCATCCCAGGAGCGTGGGAATCTTCAGAGCAGCGAGATAAAATCAAAGTGCCCCCGGAGAACCCCGGGAGGACCCGGGGAACGGGTTTACCTGGCACGAACTGCAGAACCAGGAGCGCGGCGATGAAGAAGTTCATCCTCCTGCCTCGGGTGTCGTCCGCTGCCGCCGCTGCTCCGCGGGACTTTCTCGAGCCCGTCCCCACGGAGGCAGGAAATGACTCGGGGGGGGCTGGGCTGAGCAGTTCGACGTCCTTGGTAGCTCCGAGCAGCGCCCGGGTCGTGCCCGGAGTGCGGGGCCGGGCGGGATCGTGTCCCGCGCGCTGCCCGCGACGCCGCTCCGGCACGGGCACAGCTTCCCGCGGCAAAGGCTGAGTTGCAAATCTTGGGAAGTTTTTTCCCCCCCGGGGGAGGGTTAGTGCCGCTGGATGAACTCCGGGATGGAGGGAGGATGGTTTTGATTATGTTCTAACGGAGTGGAGCGGAGCTATAAATAGCAAATCCTTCTGGGAGAGAGGCGAAGGCAGAGACGGGGAGGCAGAGTTCTGACTTCCCGTAAAATCTTGGGGGATTTTTTTTGTCTTGGCTTCGTTTCCCCTTCCCGTGCCTCAGTTTCTTAGTCACGAAGAAGAAACACGAACGGTCGTGTATTTATTTTATAGTGGATAAAAACACCCTGGGCTGGGATGACTCCGGAGCCGTGCCCGGTGTTCCTGGTCGGCTCCTTGCCCCGTGTTGGATCAGCTGCTGGTTCTCCTCCTTCTCTGAATATGGAAGCAAAATAAGAAGAACATTTCTTGGAGGAGAAACAGGGAGGAAAGGAAGATCCAGCCCTTCTGCTTTGTGGGGAGTAGCTGACAGCGAGGGGATCCTGCCAGGAGCAGGCGGGATGTGGGGGAGAGCTGGTGAGGACCTTGGGGGGGAAGGAAAAGGGGAAATAAAAGGGACAGAGATGAATCAGGTGGTGTAAAACCAGTATTTTGGTGTGGAGGTTAGAAAATCAGCAAAGAGCAAGATGAGTCTTGGATAGTACAGGAGCTCTGTTTTGAGGTGCGGAATCATGGGATCATGGGATGGTTTGGGTTGGGAGGGACCTTAAAGCTCATCTTGTCCCACCCCCCTGTTGTGGGCAGGGACACCTTCCACCAGATTAAGTTGCTCCAATCCCCATCCCACCTGGCCTTGGACACTTCCAGGATCAAGAAGAAATTTATAACTGGGAAAATTCACCTGGAAAGAGAACCATTCCCAGACGGAGGGTGGTTGGACATGGGACAACCCTGGGAGGAGGCACAGCCCATGCTCTCCCCTTGTCTTTATCCACCATCCCTCAAGGCACATTCTCCCCATTGTAAAATATTGTCCCAGCCCTATATTTCCAATCTCTCCAAGGAAACAGTGGGAGGATGATGCTCTTCCTCATGAACCCCCAGCTGGGTCCCTTTTCCCTCCCTGTGGGTGCTCACAGGAGCAGGAGCTTCCTCCTCGAGATGAGAAAGGGGAAGCAGGTTTTCCGTGGCCAGAGGGGGTTTAATGGCAACAGCTGGGGTGGGCCAGGTGGGACCAGAGGGAAAGGGCTGCAGGAGGGGAGGGAAAACCACGGAATGTGTGTGGAGACCCCCGGGGCAACCACCGGGAGAGCCACAGTGGGTGGTGCATTTCACCTCCTTGGGCTGTTGATTTTAGTCCAAGGATTCTTGATGATGTTAAGTCAAGAGTTCCTATGGATTTTAAGCCAAGGATTCCTATCGATTTTAAACCCAGAATTCCTATCAATTTTAAGACGAGAATGCCAAGAATTCCGATTGATTTTTAAACCAAGAATTCCGGTAGATTTTATGGCAAGGATATTAAACGATTTTAAGCCAAAAATTCATCAAAGTAGACTTTTTTCCAACCAAGAGTGGACCCAGCTGAAGAACTTTGCCATCCCAAACCCAATTCCCAACCTCCCAGGGCTCTCCCTGCTTTGCCCAAAGGGCTTCTCCCATCCATAGGGAGATGCTCAACAAAGGGATAAGTGCCAAGGAATGTTGAGCAGGAAGTGAATCTCTCCAAACCCTCCTCTCAACCCACAAAAATAACATCAAATCTCAAAAATCCCAACCCAAGCAGAAATCTGACCTCGTTGGGATGAATCCCGCCGGGGCTGGAGCTGCTGGGGGGGCAGGGAAGGGTTAAAATATCCTGGAATTAAAGGGATGGGGAGGGAAGGGGCGAGGAAGGTCCATGAGGACAGGGATGGATGAGTGGATGGGGTTGGACAGGCAAACCCCTTGGCGTGGGAGCTGGGAGTCAGAGTTCAGAGGGATCTGCTGGCTCAGCACTGGGAACGGCTCCTCAGGGCTGGGTGTGATCATGGAAGACTTGCAAAAACTGGGAAAACTTGGAGAATAAACTAAAGGACCTGGATAAAATGTGCCATAAGGTGGTAAAAGCGGGAAAAGGCAGTTCTTCCCTTGCTGGGACCAGCTGGCACATCCCAGCTGCATCCTGCATCCCAGGTGTGGGTCTGGAATTGTGTTTCTGTCTGGAAAAGGAAAACACTCTATTTTTGTTCATGGGGGTTTTTTTTCCTTTTTACCTTTTTTCTTACTCATTTTTCACGTGTGGCAACACAGAGCGAACCCATCTCGGCCACAGCAAGGAGCCAACCCAGCAGCTTTTCCACCTCCCATCCCAAAACCTTGTTTCCTATTCCCCAGATCCCTGTGTTGCTCAGTCTACTTTATTGCTATTTTTTTTCTGTATTAATATTAAAGCTTTTGTGCCAAAATCCAGCAGTAAAAGCTGCCACAGCGATGGAGCAGCAAGGGGGAAAACTCAAAAAGGAGGGGAAAAAGAAGGAAAAGGAAGGAAGGGGGGGGGAAGGAAGGAAAAGGAGGCAAATATAAGGAAGAAGAAGGAGGCTGCTGATCCTTGCTGTGCCCAGGGAGCTGCATCCCAGGGATGCTCCGGGCATCCCGCACGGTAGATCCTGGAAACCCCTGGAAAGCTCACTCGGAGGAGGAAGGTGGGATGAAGTCAGAGCTGTGTCATTTCCCAGCTTTAATAGGCGGAAGTGAAACCAGAAGGGAAATTAATCCACGGCAGCCGGTGGCTCCGGCACTGTCCTGAACAATGCCCCGTGCCCAGGAGGTGGCATCCGCAGGATCCCTGCGGAAGCGCCTGGAGGGTGGGGGGAGCATTGTTTGGAGTTTTCCCTGCAGGAGACGTGGAGATGGATGAAGAAAACCCCTAAAACCTGATCCCTCGTGGCACCGGTGACTCGGAGGTGGGTGGGGTGAGCTGCCCATCCCGCGGGGAGGACACGGAGGGGCTCTGGGGCCGGGGTGTTTTCACCCCCCCAACTGCCCTCCCGAGGGGATTTTTTAGTCTAAATAAAGTTTTCCTGCCCTTCCCAGCTCCTCTGTAAACAGCTGCGCCAGCGGGGGGGGCAAGGGGAGGGTGTGGAATTGGAATGGGAGACGTGAGAGAGTTGGAATAGAGAAAAAGGCTGCTTTAGACAGGAATTCCTTGAGGATAGGATAGGGTGGAATGGAATGAAATTAGAATAGAATAGAATAGAATAGAATAGAATAGAATAGAATAGAATAGAATAGTGCTGGGGATGGATGACACTGAGGCTGGGTGACACTAGAGAGAGGTGACCCTGGGGATGGGTGACCTTGGGGTCGGGTGACACTGCAGACGGGTGACGCTGAGCACAGGTTGTGTCAGGTGTCTCCCAGCGTAGCTCCTGTCCCGAGTGTCCCTATCCCGAGTGTCCCCTATCCCGAGTGTCCCTGTCCCGAGTGTCCCCTGTCCCCAGGGACTGGTCCTACCCCCCCCACCACCGCCCCCATCGCCTGCGGCCTCCGGTCCGGCAGGGGGCGCTGTGTCCGCGTCCTCCGGGCCCGCTTCGTTCGCTTGCGTCCGAGTCCTCCGGGCCGGCAGGGGGCGCTGTGGCGCGGCCGCCATGGGCGCCGCCGTGTTCTTCGGCTGCGCCGCCATCGCCTTCGGCCCCGCGGCCGCGCTCGTGCTGCTCACGGTGGCGGCCGAGCCGCTGCGGGTCATCGTCCTGGTGGCGGGGTGAGCGAGGGGGGGCCGAGGGGGGCTTGGGGGACGCTGAGGAGGGGCCGGAGAGGGGGTATGGAGGGCTTTGGGGGGGAGTCTGAGGGGCCTCGAGGGCGGTTGGAGGGATGCTGAGGGGCCTGGGGGGAGCTGCTGAGGCGCCTTTGGGGGGTGTGAGGGTCTTGGCGGGGCCTGAGGGGCCGTTGAGGGGTCTCGAGGGCCATTGGCGGGTGCTGAGGGGCGTTGGGAGGGGCGGAGGAGCCTTTTGGGGAGTCTGAGGGGACACTGGGGTGCTGGTGGCGCCGGGCGGGCGGCTGAAGGGGGGTCTGTGAGGGAGCACTGAGGGGGACGGTGAGGAGGCAGTTCGGGGGCAATTTGAGGGCTCAGAGAGCGCTGAGGGCTCATTTCTGTGCAGCCAGCGGGGTGTCCCAGCCCGGCTGTACCGAGGGCAGCTCCGCCTGATCCCGGTGCCCGTGTCCCTTGTCCTCCCCCCTTCCCCCAGGGCGTTTTTCTGGCTGCTGTCGCTGCTCGCCGCCTCTCTCCTCTGGGCCGTGTCGGTGCAGCTCAGCGGGCGGGAGGACGCGGCGCTGCTGCTGCCCGGGGCCGCCGCCGCCGTCCTGCTGCAGGAGCTCTGCCGCTTCGCCTGCTTCAAACTGCTCAAGTGAGAGCCCTCCCGGGGGCCGGGGGAGCTGTGCTGGGGGTCCCGGGGGCCGGGGAGCTGTGCTGGGGGTCCCGTGGGGGCCAAACCAGGTGCTGGGTTTGGGGCTCTGTGTGCAGGGGAGCCCCGCAGAGTCTTTCTGGGAAGGGGCTGTGTTTGCTCTCCCTGCCCCGTGGGATGGGGCTCACGCTCTCTCCCGGCGGAGCAGGAAGGCGGATGAGGGGCTGGCGACGCTGAGCGAGGATGGGCGGTCCCCGATCTCCCTGCGGCAAATGGCCTACGGTGAGCGGCCCTGCGGGCTCCGGGGCGGAGCTGACACGGCTTTCCCGGCTTTCCCAGCTCTCCCTGGGGGCTGTGGAGGGCATAGGGGGGCTCCCCTGACCCCCGGCTCCCCCCGCAGTGTCCGGGCTCTCCTTTGGCATCATCAGCGGCGTCTTCTCCATCGTCAACATCCTGGTGGACTCGGCGGGGCCGGGCACGGTGGGGATCCATGGGGACTCCCCGTACTACTTCATCACCTCTGGTGAGCCCGGGGCACCAGGAGGAGGAGGAGGAGGAAGGCTGTGGGTCTGAGGCCCCGTGGTTCTCCCCACAGCCTTCCTCACCATGGCCCTGGTGCTGCTCCACACCTTCTGGGGCGTCATCTTCTTCGACGCCTGCGAGCGGCGCCGCGCCGGGGGCCTGGGGCTGGTGGTGGGCGGCCACCTGCTCGTCTCGGGGCTGGTGAGTCCTCTGGAGGGGGCACCGGGACCCCCTCCCTCCCTGCTGGGGCTGTGGGGTGAGTTACACACCCCTGAACACCCCTAGCCCCTGGGGGGAAGAGGTTGGTGCAGGATTTAGGGGCACACACAGGGAATGATCTGCTGGGCTCTGGTGGGGGTTGGATATGTGGCTCAACAGGGCTCCAGGCTGGGTTTCTGCAGGGCCTGGCACCCCAGTCCTTGCTGTGGCTGTTTGGGGGAGCTGGTGGGGGGTGTGACCCATCTCTCTGCATCCCCCAGACCTTCCTGAACCCCTGGTATGAGGCCAGCCTGGGGCCCATCCTCATCCTCACACTCTGCACCGGCCTCTGGGCCTTCGGCACCGCCGGCGGCTCCTTCCACAACGTCCTCAAGTGCCTCTCCTGTAAGGGGGGTCTGAGGGAGTGGGGGGCACTTCAGGGGGGCCTCTGACCCCTTTTGGGGGTTGGGGGACCCGGAGCCACAAGGGGTGGGGGTGGATGAGTCTCACTGAACTGGGGCTGTGTTCCCAGGGGCTTCCACAAACCCCCAAACCACCCCCACCCCCAGAACTCCCCCCACAATCACCCCCTTTACCCCCCCAGGTAAGCAGGAGCCCGAGGGCCGGGTCATGCTCTACTCAGCACTGCAGGTGCCCCCTGAGGAGTGAGCAGAGCCTTGGCCCCACAGCTGGATATTCCACCACTGCCTTCACCCCTGTCTGCCCCGGGATTTGGGGTCTGACCAGTGCTCCCAGGGGGGTTTGGGGTCTGACCGGTGTTCCCAGGGGTGTTTTGGGGTCTGACCAGTGCTCCTGGGGGGTTTGGGCTCTGACCAGGGCCCCGTTCCCTTTGTTCCCAGATTCTGTTACACTTTTCCCTCAGGTTGTGGCTGTGGGGAAGGCGGAGGGGGGGCTGAGTACCCTGGGGGGCATCCAGGCCTGGGGGGGCTCAGGGCAGGGCAGACCCCCCTCCTTCCTTTGTGTTTCCCTCCCCTGGTGGGATCTTTGCCCCTGGTGCTCTGGGGGTGGAGGGGTCTGGGCCAGGGGTGCTGTTCCCCCCTCAGGGTGATGCTCTGGGGGTGGGGAGCTCAGGGCCAGGGGTGCTGTGCCCCCTCACCCCTGTTCGGCTCCTGGGGGGGTCTGGGGTGCAGTGGGGGGTAAATTATTTTTTTGATTCAGAGTAAAACCCTTTTCTAAGAGCGCTGTGGCTGCTGAGGGGAAGGGGAGGAGGGGAGAGGGTCACTCCCATCTTGCTCTGCTCCCACCCTGGGGTCACCTGGGGATCCTGGTTTCTGGGGGGGGCCGGGGGTTGACAGATTCTGGCCCCGAAGCCCCTTGAAGGTCCCATTCCCGCCCCACAAAGAGTCACCAGCACTGGAATGGGGGGGAAAAGGGGCTTTATTTGAGACCCCACCGGGTCTTTAGGAGGGCTGGGGGGCGGCGGGGGGGTCTCTCAGGGGGGTCCTTGCGGGGGGGTCAGCGGGAGATGCCGCTGTCCCCGGGGGAGCAGCGGGAGGAGGCCTTGAACACGACGTCCTGTGCCTGCGCCCGCCTCGCGCTGCTCGGGGGAGAGACGGGTGAGGGGGACCCTCCCCGGGGCTCTGGGGGTCCAGCCCTGGGGGTCCAGGCTCCCCTGCAGCCAGGGGGGCTCCCTCTGAGGGGCAGGGGGTGTGTGGGGGTCTCACCGCATCCGCTTGGCCCCGAAGTGCACGGCGAGGAAGAGGATGACGCAGCCGGCGACGGCGCCGAAGATGATGGCGATGACTTCACCTGTGACACACGGGGGGCTCAGGGGGGCCCGGGGAGACCCCCCCCACTCCCCATCCCACCCCTCCGGGCTGGCCATACCTGTGGAATATCCCTCGGGCTCTGCAAGGGAAGGGCAGGGTCAGAGCTGGCACCTCGTGCCCAGCCAGGGCTCCAAGAGCCATTTGAGGGGACCCTTCCCACTCCTCGCCCCCCCAGCTCACCCCTGGGGAAGGACACCAGCACCATCCGCTGGTTCAGCTCCTGCGGGGCCCGGAAATTGTCCACCAGGAGCTGCGGCTCGGCCTCGGCCTCCTCCGTGGAGTAAAGGCTTCCCTGGAGCTGCTCCAGCTGGAACGGGGAGGGGGGAGTGCTGGGGGCTGTCCCCCGAACCCAGGGGTGTGTCCCCCCCAAAGCTGGTCCTACCTGGTCCTGGCTGATGTGGACAGGCTCCGGGAAGAGGGTCCAGAGGACGCTCTGGAAGCAGGGGGGGGGTGGTCAGGGACCCGTTGTACCGGTAGTAGCGGTCGAGGCGCGGGGGCAGCAGGTCCAGGACGCTGAAGGAGGGGATGGACGTGGACTGTCCTGGGGGGCAGGGTGGGAGCAGTTGAGGGGTGCAGGGAGGGGGGATTTGGGGTCCCTCCCTGCTGTCTCCCCCCTTACTCCCCTCACCTGCATAGCGGATGCTCCCAAGGTGCCTCAGGATGTTGTCGTAGGTGGGGTGGGGGTCGGTGCCCACCTGGGGGAGTGAGGGAGGGGGGTGTCAGTGTGGGTCTGGGGGCTCAGGGGGGGTGGGTTTGGGGTCCGTACCTCCAGCAGGATGCCCAGCACGGCCAGCCCGCCCACGTGGTGCTGAGCCTCTCCCGCGTCAGAGAAACGGTCGGCATCGAAGTGCACCACGTGCATCTGTGGGACCCCCGACAGCCCCGCTGGGCCCCCCACCCCAATCCAAACACCCCCACCAGGCCCCCCCCCCGATCCCACACCGCTGCACCTCCCACAGTGCCCAGACCCACTGCCTGTGCCCAGAGCAGTTCCCGTTTCCCACCCGTTTCTCCTTCCTGCACCCCATCCCCTCCCTGCACTCATTTCCCATTCCTGGATCCATCTCCTTGCCCATTTCTGCACCAGGATCCCACTTCCATTCCCTGCACCACATTCCTGCGTGCAGACCCCTGCACCACGCTGTCCTCGTGCCGTTTCCCTCACCGAGACCCCTTCCCACAACCATTTCCCACCCCCAGACCCATTTCCCACACAGCTCCCACGCCATTTCCCTCACCCACCCCTCTTCCCATCCTCCTCCTTCCACCCCCAGACCCGTTTCCCACCCCATTCCCGTGCCATTTCCCACCCCCAGACCCATTTCCTGAGCCATTTCCTGCCCCGTGCCCTCTCCCCTCAGTCCCCCCGTGCCCCCGGTACCTCAGCAGGTGCCCGGTGCCCATCCAGCAGGTGCTCAGCACCGGCGGCGTGGCCAGGCCGGCCCCAGTGGAAGTGGAGCTGGGCGGCAGCGAAGGCCCCGGGGAGCCCCTGGAGCCTCAGGGAGGGCGGCAGTGCCAGCACGGCTGTGGGACAAGGGGCAGGGTGGGGGGTTCAGCAGGGCTGAGACACCGGGCCCCCCACGGACCCCCTGCCCCCATCACTCACCGGTGTGGCCGTTGTTGGCGAGGGTGAACCGGGGGGTCTCGGGGTGGTCGTAGCCCTGGGGCTGCAGCGGCGGCAGCGCCGGGTCCGGCCGTGCCCGTCCCGTGGCGATGTCGATGGGCGACTGTGCCCGGCCCCCACACGCCGGGTGCCCCTCGGGCCAGTGCTGCTGCCCGTGGGGGCCTGGGGGACACTCAGAGTGCGGGTGGGCCCCCCCAGCCTCAGCCAGCAGGGCCCCGTGACCCCCGGGCGGGGACACGGGTGACAATGCCCGGGGCCTCGTTAATCTGCTGGGGGCATTTGTTCCGGCCGGGGGAGCGGGGACAAAGCGGGGCCGGGGGGGCACCCATGGGTCCCCTGGGCCCGCGGGACGGGGCTTAGCGGGATTTGGCCAAGGCCGGATCCTAATTGGATTTGGCACCGGAGCCTTATGTAAAGGAGCACAAAGGGACCATTGGAGCGAGGGGGACCCAGAGGGGGCAGAGGGGGGACATGGGGGGCTGCACCCATCCACTCCCCACCCGACATAGGGCACCCAGGCGTGCGGGCAGGGGCGCTGGGGGGTGTCACCCACCCACCTCCTGCCCATTTGGGGGGATCCAGGTGACCAGAGGGGCATGGGGGGCTGCACCATCCACTCCCCTCCCGCCTTGGGGCCCCCAGATGTCTGGGGGGGGCTGTCACCCACCCTCACCCACCCACGTCCTTCCCATTTGGGGAGACCTGGGTGTCGGGGGGGTGTCACCCACCCACCTCCCTCCCCCTTCTGGGAGGACCCAGGTGAGCCCCTTGGCTCTGGGGGAGCCTGGGGGGTGGGTTTGGGGTGTGGGGATAAATGGGGGGGTTCCTGGGGAGGTGGGGCCCCAACTTACCCTCATATTCCCAGTGGGGACCTGCAGGGGAGAGCGGACGTGTTGGGGTGGGGGCTCAGCTGAGCCCGGTGTGGGGGCACCCCGGGGGGGAATGGGGCTGCACCCCAGAGTGGGACCCACAGGGGGGACTCACCGGCGGGCAGGGCGGGGGCCAGGCCCCCCAGCAGCAGCAGCACATTCAGCATGGCAGGGGGCACGGGGGGCCGGGTGCTGCCAGCCCGGCCCTAAATACCCACCCGGGGGGACGGGCCCCCCCGGGGGGACGGGGAGGGCTGGAGTGGCCATGATCGGGGCGTGAGGAGGGGGGAGATGAGGCCGTGGGGACTTGGGGGGCCTGTGGGGCTGCGAACTCCGGGCTTGTGGAGTGGGGGGTTTTGTGGGGCTGGGGGGCTCTGGGGGGCACTGTGGGTTTGGGGGGGCCCGGGGGGGGGGCTGGGGGGCGCGGGGGGGGGGGGGGGGGGGGGGGGTCGGGGGGGGGGGGAGGAGGGGGGGCCATGGGCGGGGGGGCCCCGGGGAAACCCCTGCACGCGTTCCCAGGGAAGCTCCGCCCCTACACAAGGCTCCGCCCCCTGTCTCGGGAAGCCGCGCCCCGTTCCCACGAGCGGGCGGTGACGTCACTTGGGCGCCCCGCCCCCACGTGGGTCCGCACGCGCCGCCCTGCCCCGGTTATGTAACGGCGCGGGGGCGGGGCCGCCCCGCCCATTGGCCGGGACGCGCCGCCGAGGCCGCCGCCCATTGGCGGGTGGTCGAGGGGGCGTGGCTAAGGACCCTCTCACGCGGGACCCCGAATCGGCGCGCGGAGGGACGTGGCCACGGCCCCGCCCTCCGGCCAATCAGCGCCGGGCAGCGGCGCGGACCAATCACAGCGGGGAGGCGGGGCGGACGCGGGGAGGCCGCGCCCCCTGCCGGGGCGCGGCGGCCAATGGGGGCGCGGCGGGGCGGGGCCCGGGACGAGGCACGTGCGGGCGCGCACGTGTCCGCGTGGGGCCGCCGCGGGCGGGGCGGACCGGGAACGGAACGGGACGGGACGGGGACACAGAGATCGGGACAGGAACACCGGCACCGGCACCGGGACAGTGTGACCGGCACGAGAACGGGAACACAGAGACCGGGACACAGGGACAGAGACACCGGGAACGGAACGGGGACACAGAGACCGGGACACCGGCACCGGGACAGGGACACCAGGGTAGTGACACCGGCACCGGGACAGCGACACCGGGAGAGCGACACTGGGACAGGGACACCGGTACCGGGACACCGGCACTGGGACAGGAATACCGGCACGGGAACGGGGACACCGGCACCAGCACGGGGCCAGGGACAGCGACACCGGTACCGAGACAGTGACACTGGCACCGTGAGCGGGGACGGCGACACAGGGACAGTGACACCGGCACCGGGACACTGATACCGGACAGGAACGGGGACGGTGATACCGGGACACGGGGACAGCAACACCGGCACGGGGACACCGGCACGGGGACACCGGCACCGCCGCAGCCGGGAGCAGGTGGGACCCGGCGTGACCGGGCAGGGAGCGGTCCCGGTGCAGGGGGAGGGGAAGTGTCCTCATCATGGTGGGGCTCCTGCCTGGGGGTGTCTCGGTGCTGGGGGGGCTGGGGGCAGGTGATGGGGTGAAGGGACCGGGAGGTGCCGGGTCTGCCCCCCCGGGGCGCGGGAGGTGTCACTGAGGGGGCGTGGGGGGGGCGACACCCCCGTGGGAGAACGTGGCAGTTCCTCTGTTTTCCACTTTTGCCCAATATCCCCCTTTTTTCCCCTCTGTTTTCCTCCCTCCCCCAGGCGGGCTCGGCTGGGCGGCCCCGACAGAGCTGAGCCCGGGGAGAGGCTCCCTTGGGGGGGCCCCCCCTGTGCCCCCCACCATGGAGACCCCCGCCCGCGCCTGCTTCTGTGGCTCCCCCTCCTCCGACAGCGAGGCCGAGGGGTCCCCCCGGGGCTCCCGCGGACCCGAGCGCAGCCGCAAGAGGCCGGGGGGGCCCGACCGAACCCCCCCCGAGTCGCCGCCGTCGCCCCACCAGGGGGGAAAGCGGCCACGGAAGGGAGAGGGGGGAGACGACCCCCCCAGCGACGGCGATCGCCTGTTTGCCCAAAAAGTGAGTGTTTAGCAGCAAAACAAGGGGCACCCCCAAAGCTGGGGGGGTTTTGGTGCCCTAAAAAGGCATCTGGGGCTGCCTCAGTTTCCCCTCAGACTGGGGGGCTCGGAGGGGGATAAAGGGGGTTTGGAGGGGTGAGGGGGAAATAAGGGGGTTGGGGGGGGCACGATGCCCCCTCCACAGTCTGAGTCCAGCCCAGTCACCCTCCTCCTCCTCCTTCTCCTCCTTCTCCCCTTCTCGCAGTGCCGGGAGCTCCGGGGCTTCATCCGCCCGCTGGCGGAGCTGCTGGAGGGGCTGCGGCGGGGCCGCTACGACAGAGGTAGGTCCTCTCAAACCCCCCACACCCTCTGCCCCCCAAACCCGCCCCCCCTGCACCCCAGCCCCTCCAAACCCACCCCCTCACCCCTCCCCCACAATGCCCCACATCCCCTGTCCCCCCAAACCCACTCCCCTGTCCCCCCACGACCTCCACCCCCTATCCCAAACCCGCACCCCCTGCACCCCCTGTCCCCCCATGTCCCCCTTTCCCCTACCTTGAGGACTCAGGGGTTTTTGGGGCCCCCCAGGGCTGAGCAGTTTCCAGCAGAGCGTGGCCATGGACCGGCTCCAGCGGATCATCGGGGTGCTGCAGAACCCAGAGATGGGGTGAGTGTCCCTAAAATGGGGGGAGTGTCCCCAAAAATGCATTGAGTGTCCGCAAAAATGGGGGAAGCAGCCCCCGGGAATGGGGTGTCCCTCAGGAATGGAGGGAGTGTTCTCCGGGGAGGGGGGGAGTGTCCCCAAAAATGGGTTCGGTGTCCCCAAAAAATCGGGGGAATGTCCCCAAAAATGGGTTGAGTATCCCCAGAATTGGGGGCAGTGTCCCTGGGAATGGGGGGTGTCCCCCAGAATGGAGGAGTGTCCCCCAGAATAGGGGGGTGTCCCCCAGTCTCTCTAGGGGGGGTGCAGTGACGCGGCCGTGGTGCCCCCATGCCCGGCACTGACGGGGGTCTCCGGGGGTCTCTCCCCCCCCGCAGGGCGCGGTACCTGGGCACGCTGCTGCAGGTGGAGGTGATGCTGCGCCTCTGGTTCCCCCACGTGGCCTCCAAACCCTCGCCGGACGCCGCCGCCCCCCCCTCCGCGACCCCTCCTCGCCGCCGCCCCCCCGCCGGCCCCCCCGGTGCCCCCCGCTGCCGCCGCCCGCCCGGAGAGCCCCCCGTCGCCAGCCCCGAGGGGGCAGCGGGGCCGTCACAGCCCGCGGGGACTCCCCGCTGCCAGCCCGGGAGCCCCCAGGACCCTCCCCCGGCGCCGGACGAGTGACGCCCCCCCCGGCTCGGGGGGGGTCTCGGCTGCATTTCTGGGCTTTGCCTTCTTTTGGATTGTTTTGTACCGGTGGTCAGGGAGACCCCGCGGGCGGGGGCCACTGACCGGGGGCGGCGGGGGGGGCCGCGACCACCTCTCTCCCCCCCCCGAGCCCCAATCCCGGGGTGGGGCCAGGACCCCCCTGGCTTGTGCCTTCCCCCATGGTGTGGGGGGGCCTGGGGGCGTGTGGGACCCCCCCCGAGGGGTGTGTGGGGGGGTCTGGGGACAGTGTGAACCCCCCGAGGGGTGTGGGGTGGTCAGGGGACAGTGTGACCCCCCCGAGTGTGCCTGGGGGGGCCTGGGGGGTTTGTGGCCCCCCCCCCAAAGTGTGCCTGGGGGGCCTTGGGGGGGGTGTGGCCCCCCCGAGCGGGGCTGCCCCCCCAGCCGGCCCTGCTGGAAGCAATAAACGCCGCGGGAGCGGCCGGGGCCATCCGGTGTCGTGTTCTCTTGTCCCCCGGGGGGGGGGGTCGTGTCCCCCGGCGGGAGTCCTGTCCCCTGGGGGGGGGAGGGTGTCCCAGGGGGAGAGGGGGTGTCTTGTCCCCTGGCTGCCGTCCTGCCCCCGCGGGGGAGGGTTTCTTGTCCCCAGGGGGGTCCGATCCGCCCCCCAGGGCCGCCCTGTCCCCTCCCAGCGGGACCCCCGAGTGCCCCCCCAGTGCCCCTTGTGGGGCAGAACCGGGGGGAGGGCGAGCCCCGGGACCTCAGCGGGCCCTGCGTGTGCCCCCCCCCCCCCCCGCCGTGACCCCTGAGCTCTGCCCCGGGCCCCGACTCCGTCTCGGTGCCCCAAATCCCAAAGTCCCGGTTCCGCGCCCCCCGCGCCCGGCCCGGCCCGGCCCGGCCCCACCGGAAGTTCCGTCCACAGGAAGTTCCGCTCCTCAAAGACTTCCGGTCTGGGCGCGGGGTCGGAGCGGAGCGAGCGCGGCAGGGCCGGGGTCCGTTTGGGACGGGACGGGAACGGGATCGGGGTGGGAATGGGGATAGGAGCCGGGACAGGGCTGGGAACGGGATCGGGAACAGGCTGGGAACGGGGACAGGGACCGGGACAGGGCTGGGAACGGGGATAGGGCTGGGAACGGGACAGGGACCGGGACAGCGCTGGGAATGGGATCGGGATCGGGAACGAGGTGGGAACGGGGACAGGAGCCGGGACAGGGCTGGGAACGGGACAGGGACCGGGACAGGGCTGGGAACGGGACAGGAGCCGGGACAGAGCTGGGAAGACACCGGGACCTGAACGGGGACAGACACCGTCACCGAGATCCTCCGGGTGACGCCGGGACATTACCGGGGGTGGCCTGACCGAGACCATCCGGGGGTGGAGGGAGGTCCCGGGAAGGACCCTCGGGAAGGACCGGCCCGTCCGTGTCCCCGGGGAGGGGGTCCCTGCCCTGTCGCGTCCCGGGGAGTGGGACAGGAGGGCCCGTCCCCTCCCAGTCTCGGTGCCACCCCCCGGTCCCGCTGCAGCCATGGCGAACCACGCGCGGTTCGTGGCCCGCACGGTGATGGTGCAGAACGGCAACGTGGACGCGGCCTACGGAGTCCTCAACAGGTTACGGGGAGGGGGCAAACGGGGGGCTGGGGGAGGTTTTGGGGGACGCCGGGGTCCCTGTGGGAGCCGGGGGTCCCCCGGCCCATCGGCTCCCGGAACACAGCGAGCTGTTCCCGGTGCTTGCGGTGCAGGGGGGGGCTGTTCCTCCTCCTCCCTCCTCGCACATCCCATCCCTGCCCCGCAGGATCCTGGCGCAGGACGGGGTGGCCGATGCCGGGTGACCCCCTGACCCCTGTGTCTCTCCCACCCCGCAGGATCCTGGCGCAGGACGGGATCACCGATGCCGTGCGGCGCTCCCGGTACTACGAGAAGCCAACCAAGAAGCGGCGGCGCCTGGCGTACGAGGCGTGCCGGCGGGTGTACTGCGCCGAGATGGCCCGCAAGATCGCCTTCTTGTCGCGGACCAACCGGCAGGACCCGTGGCTGGGCTGCTGACCCCATAAAACCCAATAAACTCCTAATAAAACCCCGTTAATTGACTCGGTTTAATGACGGCGCGGGGGGCGGGGCCCGCGGGGAGGGGGCGGAGCTCCGCGGGACAAAGCTCCGCCCACGCGGGGAGCGCGTTTTTGCCCGGCGGTCACGTGACGCGGGCGGGCCGGAGCCCGAAGGGGGTCCCCCCCTTCCACTCCTCCTCCTTCTTCCCGGCGTCCCCCGCGCGCCCGCCGCGCACGCGCCGCGCCGCCGTTTCCGCTTCCGCCCCGACGCGCCGTCACCGTCAGGGGCCGCCGGGCCGGGCCCGGGACCGAGAGCGGGGTGAGGGGACGGGGGAGAGGAAACGGGGACGGGAGGCGCACGGGGAGAGTGAACGGGAGCGCGGTGAGGGAGCGGGGGCAGCGGGCGCGCTACCGGCAGGGACGGGAGCGGCTGAGGGCGGCGGGGCACGGGGAGGCCGCGGCGGAGGCGGCGCCGGGCCCGGCCCGCGCGCGGAGCCTCCCGGGTCTGTCTGCCCCTGTCATTCTGTTTGCGCCGCCGGAGCCGCGTTTATCTGGGGGTTGTTGGACCTCGGGGCTGCGGCCGCGGCTCTGCCCTGCCGGGAAAACACCCCCGGAGGTGGTGCTGCCCCTGGGGCTCAGGTGGGACGCGGAGGCTGGAGCGGCGCTAATTCACTAATTACCCGAGTCCTGTGGTTAATTAGGGACGTACTCGGAAGTTTTGGGCTCTGAGGAGAACCCGGGAACCGCTGGAGTCACGTCCTGGAATCCGAAATCCAAGGGGGCTGGAACTGACTCCTTAGGGACTCCATTCCCAGTTCCAGGAGGGATAACTGACTCCCTGAGCTCCCCATTCCCAGTTCCAGGAGGGATAACTGACCCCCTGGGCTCCCCATTCCCAGTTCCAGGAGGGATAACTGACCCCCTGAGCTCCCCATTCCCAGTTCCAGGCTGGGTATGCATTCCCACAGCCCCAGTGTTCCTCTTGGCTCCACAGGGCTGCCGTGGGGAGGGAACTCTGTGCTCCAGCTCATCCCTAAGGAGATTTTCCCTGCTCTTCCCAGATCCAGTTGGGTTCTGGAGCCACTTACAGCTCACGGGAGGTGGGGGGGACGTGGCTGCTGGGAAACATCCCGGATTTTGGGCCAGGAAACATCCCGGATTTGGGGCTGGAGAGGGAATGTTGGGGAAGAGGCTCAGAGGGGCTCCTGCCCTCACAGGAAGGGACAATGTGGGAGCAGTTCCAAAACCATGGAGCTGGGATTTGGGGGGTTCAGGGGCCTTGGGCACTGGGTCGGGGGGAGCTCAGAGACATCTCAAGAGCAAACATTCCCACCTTGTTTGTGGGAGAGGATCGGGGTGTCCACCTGTTATCCCTGAGGGAACAGGTGGGATGCAGCAGCTCCAGGGACCCTCAGGGGGCTTTTAGCCCCAGGAATAAAATCAAAGCAGTGAAAGTCATCTCTGAGAGCTTTTCCTGGGGCCGATCCCGAGGGATCCACCCCAGTGGCGTGGGGGAAGCCCTGTTTGATTCTCCATATCCTTCTGCAGGTGGGATTCCCGCCAGGGATCAGGGATGGCCCTGTCCAAGCGGGAGCTGGACGAGCTGAAGCCATGGATCGAGAAGACGGTGAAGAGGGTGTTGGGCTTCTCAGAGCCCACCGTGGTCACGGCCGCCCTCAACTGCGTTGGGAAGGGCATGGACAAGAAGAAAGCGGCCGGTACGTCCCCAGGGTGGGCATAGGGCAATTGGGTCTCCAGGAATCCTCCTGGGCTCCCTCCGGGCAAATCCGTGCGGTGGGATACCGTGGGAAGCCTTGGAACGCCATACAAAAGAACCCTGAGGAAGTGGACACTAATTCCTGGAAGTGGTGATTTGACCTGGACTGCTTTTTTAGCCCGTTACAGCCCCAGTTTTTTCCTGCTTCAGGCCTGGAGTCCCTCAGTCCCTCAGTTTAAAAGCTCCTGACAACAGGACCTGCAGATCCCAGAGGCTTCTGGAGCCCCACAGGCCCCGCTGGGTTTGTAGGGTCAAACCACCCTTCCACTCTAGTGTTTTACAGCCTCCTAGGAACCTCTGGATTCTCCATCCCCCTGAGGAACCTCTGTGGATTCTCCATCCTCCTGCTCACCCTGAGCTGGGAGTTCTTCCCTGATGGGGTTTCCCTCTTTTCCAGACCACCTCAAGCCCTTCCTGGACGATTCCACCCTGCGATTTGTGGACAAGCTCTTCGAGGCAGTGGAGGAGGGACGGAGCTCCCGGCATTCCAAATCCAACAGCGACCGGAACCGCAAGCGGGAGCTGAAGGTGATTATCGATTATTGATTATCGGTTATTGATTATTGACTGTGGATTGGTTTTTCCTGCGGTTGGGTGGCCTGGAGGCAGCACTGGTGCTCTGGCACACTCTCCTCTTCCAGAGAGGTACAGCTCGGAATGTTCAAGAGAAACGACTCCTCTCCATGTTGAAGTGTGTGAGCCTTTACCCTGCGGTTCTCTTTCCCAAAGCCGAGGTGGAAGCCTGGCTTTGGCTTTCCTGGAGGGTCTTTGTTAGGCTGGTGCAGTGGAGGGAATCCACAGGGATCCCTCTCCCTTGTCCTCCGTGCTCCTCACGGTTGTGTTTCCCATGGGAGCCTGGGAGAGCTGCTCCCAGTGACTTCCCGTCGCTCTCCCATGCCCGGATGTGCCACGTGGGGCTCTGTGCTGGATGATCTGGTGGGTTTTCCTTCCCTTTTTCCACCCAGAATCAACAATAGGTGGGTTTTGACAACCCCTGTCCTAGCACAGGGTTAATTCCAGCTGGGATTCCATAGCTCTGGTGGTTCCCTCTTGTCAGGGATGGTGGAAGGCTCATGCATCCAAACCTCTTTTCACTTCCTTTCTTCTCTTGAGGACTTTTCCCACCAGCCTCTGGAATTGCATTTCCCATCACTCTGCCCAGTCTGACATTCCCTTTTAGTGCTGCTCCCACTCAAGGTGATTTTCTTTTCACTCTTCCTGAGGTTCCTGTGTTATGGCAGCTCATGTTTCCCTGGCACTGTCAGTCAGCACTGGACCTCGGTGGGGCAAAGGATCCCGCTTGGGATCTGCATCTCTTCGGGAGCGTTGGGAGCAGCTGCCTCCCCTCCCTGGTCTCCGTTAGGAACTTGCTGTTCTTCCCCCAGCCACGGCAGGAGGTGCTGGGCTGGTCCCCAAGGCCGTGGGAGTGTGAGGGTCGAGCAGGGATGGGGGTCCAGGGGCTCCCCTGACC